ATGGTTCAAAGATGCCCTCCTCTTCCCTAAAACGAAGATTGTTATTCTCAGCGGTAGTATTCCCAGTGTGTCCTGGGTAGAATTCCTTTATTTAAGAATTTCTACAACTCCCCATCCAAAGTCACTTTTATTGAGGACTTACATAAGAAGGTCCCAGTTCCCAGCAAGGTTCTCTTTATCCTTGGAAATAGATGTTGGATTCTTCCCCAAGAAGTTGGGAGTTGGATCAGAGTTCAAAATTTTCTCTGAACTACAATTTCTTTTTTGCAGTATTTTCCCCAAAAAAGGTGTACTCTCGTCCGAGTATAATTCCTCCTTCTCAGCATCATTTGTTTCTCTCCAGGTTTTCTCGGAAGAAATGTTTTATTCACCAACCAGAGATTCTTGATATACTCCCCTTGAAGTCGATATTCTGCGGCTTCCCCAGTGAGGTACACACTCGTTATCCCTATAAAGTATGCATTCTCCTACTCAGTGAGGGATGCACCCTCTCTCTCCAATGCGACCTGTCTATATCAGATTTTCTTGAAGAGATTCATGTTTACCAATGGGAGATTCTGATTCGTTATCCTCATGAGGATGACTAGCATCCCCAATGAAATGATTTCTACTCCCCAGTATAAAAATCCTTTCCATCCTGAATCCTACAGAGATGGCTACACCTAGTGCAATGGATATTATTGATGTTACCATCTAAAGTTTTTTTGGCTCCCCAGTGTAAGAGGTAGTATTTATCCCATGTCAAAGTCGAATTTCGAGAACCTACCAGAGTAACTTATCTATTATTCCTCAATGGATAAAGTTTTCTTTCCCTAGTGGAGCGAGTGTCATGTCTCCCCAGTGTGGTGTACATGGGAGTTCCAGTCATAACTCTTTCATCCCCGTTGGTAGAAAATTTTGTTGAGATATTCCCAGTGGAGCTTTTGTCCCAAGATGTTTGTTTCTTCCCCAAGTGAAGATTTTTTACCCCCTGGCTGTGTTATTCTCAGTGTGGTATGAGTAGAATTCTTTTTATTTAAGAATTTTTATACTCCCCAGTAGAAGTTATCTTCGTCAAGAAATTCTATGCGAGAAAGTTTCCATCCCCAACGAAGCTCTCCCCTTTCTAACAGAAGATAAAGAATTTGCTCCCCAAGAAGTTGGGAGTTTGATCAGGATTCAAGATTTTCTCTGAACTGCAATTTATTTTTGCAGTATTGCTCTCTAGGAAGTTACTTCCTCAGTGATATCAATCTCTAGAGGTTTGTGGTTTTGAATCTTGGTTCCCCATTGAAGTTCAGATTGCCTTTTCCCTACAGAAGATCAGATGTACAAAAATAACCGTTCAAAAATTCATTGTCTTCTCAGCAGCCAATTATTGACGTGCTTTCCCCAGTGCATTGCTAAACATGCATCATTATATTGCATCTACCAAAAAGCGTAGCATTTCCATTGTATGGAGCATTACGCTATAATAAAAAATTCAAACATGCATAAGTATAAGCCAATTGTATTTACTTGCAGTAACCATATCGTTATATGTGCTCAGATTTGAATTATCTCTACAACAAGCTTTGGGTGATCCTATTATGTTTCCCCAACAGAGTCTGTTTTGATTTACCACTAGTCGGGCCTTTGGTATCTTCCATTTCCCCAGTAATTTATGGTTTTCTCTTACCCTTGCAAGCCCTCAGTTCTGTTACCCGTGTTTTTTTTGCCATCATAGTGCGAGTAAGAGTCAGTGTATAACCTTTCTTATGTCTCAAGAATTTAAGTATCCATATTTGGTGTGTAGTAATTCAGACAATTGCCACTCTTGAAGAATTAATACCCTGCCTTTGGTTTGAGGGATATCGTAATTCTTGCATACTTGCAGCCTCTTAAAAGTCCAATATGTTTTGGAAATATTTGTTAGAGTACCCCTTGGCTGATTTCTTTCTCCTGTAAAGTTCGCCTTTGATTTGGCGTTCTCTTTGAATTTTCTTTGGTCAAAATTCTTGTCCTATTTCCCCAGTGGAATATGTCACATGGTATCCCTAGAAAGTCCGCCTTTGGTCAGCGTTCTATCTCCAAAATTCTACCTTCAGCAGTCTTCTTTTCATTATGGAGTTCTCCTTTGATCGGCGTTAATTTATTAGGAGTCTACCTTTGCCTTAAATTCCCTTGATTCGCCTTTGTGCATGCAACCTTTGTTAAGAGTCTACTTCGGTCTTTCTCTTTCTTATATGTATTTAATTTTGACTAGACACGTATATTTTATCCCCAGTTCACCTTGAATCAATGTTCTACCTCCAGAAGTCTATATGCGGTTAGTATTCCTTGTTTGTCCTTTGGTTGAAGTTGTTGTATTAGATTTCTTCCTTCTTTGACATCTGATCGAGATCAGTTTGTTAGATCTCTTCTATCTTTGATATCTTTGGCCGAGTCCGCTGTGTTAGGTCTCTTCCTTCTTTGATATCTTCGGTTGAAATTGTTGTGTTATATTTCTTCCTCTCTTTAATATATCTAGTCGAGATCACTTTGTTAGATATCTTCCATCTTTGATATCTTCAGTTGAGTCCGATGTGTTAGGTCTCCTCCTTCTTTGATATCTTCGGTTGAAATTGCTGTGTTAGATTTCTTCCTTCCTTGACATCTGGTCGAGATCACTTTGGTAGATCTCTTTCATCTTCGATATCTTTGATTGAGTCCACTTTGTTAGGTCTCTTTCGTCTTTGATATCTTTGGTTGAAATCATTGTTTTAGATTTCTTCCTTCTTTGATGCCTTTGGTTGAAACCACTGTGTTAGGTCTCTTCCTTCTTTGATACCTTTGGTTGAAATTGTTGTTAGATTTCTTCCTTCTTTGACGCCTTTTGTTGAAACCGTTGTGTTAGGTCTCTTCCTTCTTTGATATCTTTGGTTGAAATCGCTATGTTAGATTTCTTCCTTCTTTGATGCCTTTGGTTGAAATCGTTGTGTTAGGTCTCTTCCTTCTTTGATATCTTTGGTTGAAATTGATGTGTTGTATTTCTTCCTTCTTTGATGCTTTTGGTTGAAACCGCTGTGTTAGGTCTCTTCCTTCTTTGATATATTTGGTTGAAATTAATGTGATAGATTTCTTCCTTCTTTTGTATTTCTGGCCGGGTTCGCTTTGTTAGATCTCTTCCCTCTTCAATGTTTCATTTGAGTCTGCTTTTTTAGGTCTCATCCTTCTTTGTTATCTTTGGGTGAAACCACTGTGAGATCCCATCTTTTCCCGACATCTTCGATTGAGTCCGCTTTGTTAGGTCTCGTTCTTGTTAGATATCTTCATTAGAGTCCGTTGTAGTGGATCTTTTTCTTGAGTATCTGATCTTTGTCTTGTATGTCTAACCTTGACCTGACATCCAAGAGATTTACCCAGATAATCACTGTAACAAAAAAACAAAAACAAAGATAGAGAAAGAAAAAAATTATAGTAATATCTGACTGGATACAAAGTGCAAATTTTCGGGTTCTTTTAGTATTTAATCTTCTTCCACCTAGAAAGTTAGAAAGGCTGGCGCCAATCTCATCTTCAGGTTTAAGACGATTAAATAGGGGTAGCTGTTGCACCCCAAAATTTGTCCTTCTAATTTCACTTCTATTTGGTTTAGGCTTAACTTCACATTCACATCTTTTCATTAGGTGACTAAAATCGCATACATTTTGCATTTCAATAAAGCATATGAAGTTAAATGTTCAGTGGTTGTGCGATATCAGGGTTTCAGTGACTGAAGTGTATATACCCAATAAAGCTGATTACGTCTGACTCTTCTGGTTATTCTGTAAGTAGTGAAGTATGGAATTAGGGTTGTGTCGTTAGAATACCTCAAATTTGTCCTACCCTTTCATTTTTGTCATTTGGCTTATGTGTCTCTTAATCATCATGTACATACCTCCCATTAGGTCATTTAACACATCATGCATCATTAATCGATCAAATTGGCATTGGGATCAGGTTTTCACTTGTGCATTAGGGTTTCTCTATCTTTTGCAGGGTTATCTCTCTTAAAGGTTTTAGGGTCATGGGCTAGGGTTTTCCCCTTATACTCAAGGTCATCAAATGAACTCAAGGAATTGAAATCCATCTTCTTATACATGTCATCTCCGCGTGATTTAGGATTCCCTAATCATGTATACATCAAGGAAAGCTTTTCATATGAATCTATTTATCAAGAAACATCATAGTCTCAAGGACTTCCATCATGGTTAAAGCGAAATTCGTTTAAGATGCCTTGATGTTGTCATGGCAAACTAGGGCTCGGTCCCATGATTATTCCGAGTAGTATTCTCTCGAAATTTCAAGTATGACTCTCATCCAAGGCATTCTCCTAACCTCTTGGTTTACACAAGTCATTATTATATGGTTTGCCTCTCAAGGATTCAAGGGTATGAAGGAGTAAATCTTCTTTGGGGCTTATGAATCAATATATTCCTATGCGGTGTTTATTAATTGAGATGAGGTTTTAACAAGATTCAAACAAGGAACAATATTTGTTTTTCGAATTCAATTCATCATGAGATGTCAAGATGGGATCAAGTTTGATTCAAGGCATCCATATACAAACAAGGGAATTCATGAGTTTTACATAACTATCCTAGTTCATTAAAACTCCTTCATGGTCCAAGTTATAACACAAGGTTCAAAACAAATTTCAAAGTCCATTTTAAGCTTGATATGGTTTTCATACCGTGGTTCATTCTAGTTTGCAAAGTGGAGATAAAGCTTGAAATTTCAAATAGTGCAAATGGAGGGAAACAAAAAAATACTTCATTACTTGAGTTGGAATCTATACAAAAATTAATCACATATTACATCATCATGCCATCAATATAATGCCAAAATCATGAAGGAAAAGTATTCCATTTGAAAGAGGAATTTTCTTTGGATTTAACCATTGAAGGTTCAAGATTACAAAGTCATGTTTCTAAGAACCATTACATCCAAGTATCCAATACATTACATCAAAAGAAAAGACTACAAAAATCCTAGACTTATATTCCAAATTTCTCCACATTTCAACCAACTTCAAACAACTGTTTTGCCCCATCACAACTTCGCCTTCTTTTGACCATTCCTCGTGACCACGACAAAGCATAAAACTTGCAAGCCTTGACGTCATATTCCCAAATCTGCAGCATCAATTCACAAATCCCATAAGTCACTAAGCTTGCCCTGCATTTGTTCACAAAGGAAAATCAGTACAGAAAAATAAATGAGAATTATTTAAGAGCTTATTCACAGCAGAAAGTATTGCAGAGAATTAAATCAGAACTCAGGAAACAAAAAATAGCAGAACAAAGAGGCAAAAACAGTTTAACCTATAACAGAAAAACAGAATTTCGTCAACCTCCTAACCGATTCTACCAGCTCATCTAACAGATCATAACAAACTTCTATAGCCGCCTATAACAGAAAAAATAACAGAATTTTCACAACAAAAACTAACTGTTTGCTAACTACCTATAACAGAAAACCTTCCTAGTTAACTATCCTAACAGAAACTTCAAAACCAAGCTAATAGTTCCAACTAAATTTTCTACCCTAACTAACTTTCAGAATAGTCCCTAACTGTTTCTAACCAACCGATAACAGAATAAGAAAAAAAAGCAGAAACTCACCTTGAAAAAATTCATTCTTCACTTTTGAAGAACCACACAAAAACACAGAACTCTGCATTCTCCCCATAACTACCTTCATCCACCTGCAACCTTTCTTCATTCTCATTCTCGATTTCTCTCACACACCATAACCTCCATCTTCACCTTTCTTTCTGAGTTCATGATTTTTTCTTCAAGAATCACCAGAAAAACCTCACAAAATTCTCATTCATCTCTCTCTGAAATCTCTGCTACACTTTCATCTTCATCATATCTGCACATTCTTTACCATCTGCATAACTGCTTCAAATCTCAACCTTCAACAAATTTCTCAGCACATTGTCATCATTTTCAGTCTCTCATCATCTTCAACACCATAACAGTTTCTGCATCAACATGTCGCATTGTAAACACAACAATAACAACACACTCACATAGAGAGTAAGCAGAAGAAAAAGAGGTTTTCAGGAAAGAAATTCACAGAAGGAGATCGAAAAAAAGAAGTGGTTCTTTTTGAAGAAGAAGAAAGAATCGAAGATCGAAGGGAAGTGCATACCTAAGCTATCAGAACCTCATCTATGGTCTTCCTCTTCTCTATGCATCATCCTCAATTCGCAACCTTCACTGGAGCGAGTCTCTTCTCTGTGGGTTAGTTAATACATAATTTCATTTACCTTCTTGCATGTGTAGCATAATCCTTGCCCTATTGAATCGTAATCATCATTCGTCTGCGTCAGAACAAGTAGTAACACCAATCGATTTTGGATTTAGTCTTGTTAGGGCTTGGGATTTTGAGGTAAATGTAATCGTTTTGATAAGGAATAAAGAATACGAACGAGGGTTTAGAGAGAGAAGTTTTGTGGCGGAGGGAACGTTGATTATGATGGTGGAGTTTGAATCAGAAAAGGCGATGTATATGGAATCCGCAGCACAGACAGTGAGATGAGGAACAAGAAGCTAAACAAACCCAACAACTTGAAACCTATTTCTTTTTCCCCAAAACGGCACCATATCATTTTATTCCCCTTTTAATTTAATTTTTTTATTATTATTGAAACAAAAATGCTGAAAAAATTGTGTGGACCTTGTTGTTGTTGGTCCGAAACACCCTCCTTGCCAAGCCCATTAGATTTTTCTGGAACCTAAAATTTTCTTTTCCAACAAAAATGCTCAATGGACCCTGTTCTTGATGGGCCTAGCGCCCCTTACTTCTGCATACCCCTAGAAATAACTTAGCACCCCCTGACCCTTTCTAATTATTTATATTTTTCTTTTAATTTTTCCTATAACTTTTGTTATGATAGAATTGTAAAAAATCAATAAAATTTGTTAGTTTTCTTAATCGATTTCAGGAATTAATTTTTAGTTTTTGATGGAATTTTTTCGCACATAAAAACTAATAAAAAAATACTTTTTCTTTTAGTTTTTATCCATATTTTCATACTGTTGTGCCTCGTTATTTTTTATGCATTTGTTCATTGTGCAAGGTACATTTTGGTGCTTTCGATTATGTAACATCACAGGTTGTTATGTGATATAAGCATATGGCTTATGCTCGCTTCTGATGCGACACACCTTATTCCTCATCATCCTGAGAAATTCATATCATATTATATGTTCTCCAGATGCATGTGATATTTTATGATGCTTTATGCAGGAACTTCCGATTATGCATTGCAATCGCAACACACGTTTGCGTTTATCTTAGTCAGATATCGTTTCTAACTTTGTTTTCTTCTTGGTGAGCTTGCTCGATGCGCACTCCCTGTTTCTTCATTGCTTTCGCCCGCTTTTGAAGATTTGCTTACTTTTGGTAGTCGTCACTACTGCTTTTACTTTTTTCCGCACTTTATTGTATTTCTTTACTGCTTTCCTTCCATGAGAAGTAAGACTAGAGATGTATGATGGGGATTTCCGTTGCTGATCATATCAAGAACCCCTTTGGTTTATTTAAATACTTGTTTAGGGAAATTCTGCATTGTGTGCTTTCTGTATACTAGTTGTGTTTGTTTAAAATCATGCCTTTGAAGTAGGTATTTCACATGTGTGTTTAAATTTGTGCCCGCATTATTCCCCATCCCTTATTGAAGTCCTCAAAAGGAGGCGGGCAGAAAGGGTTCACAATCAACCCTCGCATTTCGTCAGTTTCATACTTAGCTCGTGACGCACCACGATGCTCCAGAGTTGTGCTTACTCTTGTTATCGAGTCGTCAAGTGGAAAAGGGTTTCACAATCTGTTGTACCCCAAAATTTGCCCTCCCATTTCCTCAACATTTTCTCATCACAAGACCTTTGAGGATCAAGATCCAGTTAGGGTTTCCTCTGCTCAAGACTTCTCCTTGCACTGTGGACTCAAATTAGGGTTTGTATTTGCCTAAGGATGCTTTGACCTAAAATGCCTAAGATGACTTTCATGCTTCATGTTGGACTCCCAAGTTTACCTATACCAAGTTTCAAGTCTTGATTCCAAGTTTTACCCAGTCAATTGGACAGTTGACCTAGAAATCAGCTGTATTGGGGAAAAAGTCAACTGTGGCCAATTGACAGTCAAATCTCATGAAATTTGATCCACATCAACATTATGAACTCATATGAACCATTTGATCAAGTTTGGATCACAATTCCCCAAGAAATTTGATCAGATCACCAAAAGGGCAAAATGGTCATTTTTAGGGTTTTGACTGCACAAAGGCAATTTTTGACTGTTTGACCTAGCCAATGGCAAACCAAGCTCACATATGGAATCAAGGACCCCATGGAATTATCTTGACATGTTCATCAAGCTCAAAAGATCCCAAGTACACAAGATTGACAGTTGAATTTCCCAGTCAATTGATCAATTTTGACTGTATACTGAAAAGTCAAACTTTGACTTTTTGGTCAAAATCAAGAGTCAAGATTCATTTTTCATCAAAACATGCCAAATCATGAAACTTGTTCACCAAGAAATCACAAAATGCAAATTAGGGTTTGAAAATGGAATTTTTCATAACTTAGAATTTTTCTAAGTTATGAAAAACCCTAATTTTTTCCCCAACTTTGCCCCATCTTTTCACCATGATCCATTTGGATTCAAACAAAAGTCAAAACATGAAAGTTGTAGCTTGTTGCATAATCTACAACTTTGATTCACAAAGTTTTCTCATTTGAAGCTTGTATCTCAAGTTATGATTTTTTGAATAAGGGCACTAAACCATCTTTTAACTTAGTGAAATTTGACCTATTTTGACAAAGTTTTCTACCCTACTTCAAGGCCACTTTTCATACCCTTCCACTTGGAATTTCAAATTGCATTTCAAAGATGGATTGTAGTACACATTCCAAGCTTTCCAAAATGTCCAAGAACTCATCAAACAACCTCATAACTTGAGAGATTCGAATTTCACAAGTTGGCAAAAATTCACTTTTTGTTCTTCATCAAAGCATGTTCATAAACTTGGCAAATTTGAATTCAGCATGCTTAAGCTACATTGCAGGCCTCTAATCCCATTTTCACTCAATAATTCAATGCATATCCTTTGTGCTCTAGCATTATCTTGCTCATTTGGACAATACACACAAAATCAAGCCTAAACTAGAAAAAGCATATTATCCATTCTTGTAAAGTGATACTTTATGGCAACTTTGCAAATCTATGAGGTACAATGCAGATCTTTGAGGCAAAAAGGCATGGACATTTCCCACTGATCAAGACTCAAATGTGCAGCATAGATTGAGGCATTGTACTGGCCTAGAAACCAAGTTGACATTTGCTTTCTTCACTTAGAAGTAACATCCATAACTTATGCCATCTCTGATACCAGCATACAAACACAAGAACAAAGTTGTCAAACACATTACACATAACATATCCAAGCTAACACACGAGCTCTTGACCTCCAAAACACCCTCCATCTCAGAATCATCCTCAAACTGCACAAACAGGGGTGCCCCTGCAGTTTGAGTGCAATCTCTCAATCCCTTCAAGCATTTCTGTCCAAACCTGTTCCTCTACCTTCCTTACAACATATGCAAGCTATCCAGAAGCTAAGGCACGATCTGTAGTTGCTCTAACCACTTCCACCATTTTCACATCTTTGACTTGCAGGTGAAGTTCTATAGCTTGATACAAGAAGGTTCAAGACAAAGTGAGCATTGAAAAAGCATCCCTGGACCTCAAGGAAGCTTTTCCAATCATTACATTGCACTGAAAGTCTCTCATTCTCCACATAGAAGTTCAACTGCACAGGTAAAAGTTTGAATTCGTATCTCTCTTATTAGGCATCTTTAGTCTTAAGTTTGTGAAGAAACAAAGTCCTACTCATAGCCCTGAACATGTACATAGCTTTACTTTTCATTTCTTTTATCTGAGTGAAGAGAATTTGAGCTCTGAAAATGGTAGAAAAACTAGGTCAGGAAAGAGGGGGAGAGAAATTCTCCCTCATCTTAGAGAGATAGGACATGTTCTTTATATGGTTGAAACCGTCTCTTAATGCTCTACATTTTTCATGTTATGAGTTTTTGCTAAAAAGCCAGGAATCCAAAGATAAAAAACGCGTGTTTTAGCTTGAAGGAGGCTGTACAGAGGTTGAAGAAGGAGTGGTCTGGGCTGGGCCTGGATTTGTTTTCTTTTTGCACCCCATTTTCATGTTTACACCCCCCTGAGCCCATTTACTCATTTTTTGACATTTTTGACTTTTTCTTTTTTTGCTGACTTCATTTATTTTTTCTCATGCCATTAGAAAATTAAAAATATTTTTTTCATTATTTTTTGCATTTATTGCATATTTATTTGTTTATTTGTTTAGTTTGTACATAAATATATACATATTTGATTATTAGAATAAATGTAAAAATAATGTAAACACACTTTTTATTTTTATTTACTTTCTGAAATATTTCACACAAAAATACTCTTTGTTTATTTTATTAAAATATTAAATAAATATTTATTTTTGTATAATACATATCTAGGGTTTAATAAAATATATATATATATATATATGATTATTAATATATTTAAGACAAAAATATAAAAATATTTGATTTTTTTCATTTTTATTTAATATTTGATACAAAAATACCTTTTTCACAATACACTTCATTTTATTTTATTTTTTATAAATAATAAATAAATAGTAGAATTAAATTAGATAATAATGCCTTTTATTTAAAAATTAGGGTTTTTCACCCTAAGTTCAAAATACTAAAAAATAAATACATTTTTATTTTCTTTTTCCTTTTACATAAATAATATTTTCTCATACACATAGAAACTTTCTTTTTACATTTCACATATTTATTTAATTTACATTTAATTATGCATTGCAAAATATCCAATTGTTGTAATAATTTAGATTTAAATTCTTGTCAATATCCCCATTTGAACATTTGTACCCCCCTTCCCATATTTGGTTGTGTAATAGCTTAGTAATTTTAATTTCGCACTTTATTGCTTTCTAATAATAACATGCTAGAATTAGGGTTTGTATGCGAAAAACGATAAAAAAATAGTTTGACCTAATACAAGATAAGCAAGCATGAAAATGAACACACAAATCACACTTGCACCCCCTAGGGTATTCCACTTGTTGCCTTCAAATAAATGGGCCATATTGTATGTTGAACATCTTTGGGCAAAGCAAACAGTTTGAATGATCATAGTCCCTCGATAAAATTTTTCAAAACAAACAAAACAAATGATCAAGTCCCTTAAAGAAATTGCCCAAAGACATTTAACGTCGTTACAATTATGGTCTAAACGATGACCCGCGCCTGTCCCTTTCACATCCTAACACAAGGTTGCCCACCAAATACAATGGTGGTGTAAACTTGTTAAAAGGGTTAAAGTATAGAAATAATCTTTTGAGAAATTTAGGAGTAGATAACCTCTTAGTTACTTGAATCAACTTGCAAAACAAAACACTTGCCTAATTTCAAAACCACACAACACTACACTTTCAAAAC